CAAGCACGATGTTGCTAGATCACAAAGAGAAAATTGTGGGTTGGCTTTGCCTGTGAGCATGATGTGTGTGTGGTGGTAGGTGGTAGGCATTGAGTGGCAGGTGGTGTATAGTGTAGTGGTGGTGGAAGGCAAGGAGGGATTCCCATTCCTGATTGCTTGGTAATTGTTTTGCTAGAGAAGCATTTAGTAGGAGAAGTCGGTATCTCAGTTACCATGGCAATAAGGGCTTTCCTGCTCTTCCCTTCCCATCAATCTGTGTTCTTCCTTCAATCTCTGCTGTGTGAGATGAAGCTTAGCTAAACGCTTTTTCAGCCAAATTAGATTTAGGGTTGAATACGCTTTAATCCACCACAAGTGTTTTTAATATTACATCATGTTTTGTCTTGTCTTCTCTGCTGCATGTTAATATAAAGAATACATGGTCTTGCACTATAGTACAAACTGTGGAGATCACAGTAAATGGTTGCAAAGTGCAAATTAACACTATATACTGTATATATATATATATATATATATATACATATACTGTATTTCTGATACAATAGGAACAGCTGGGGAGCAATGTAGGAAAAATGTATGTATGCTAAATGAGAGAGAAACATGTGTCTGCAAAGAAATATTAACACGTCTTTCCACAGAGACTTAGTGTAGAGGTTTCTGGATAACTATATCTTGCAGATTGAGGCTCACACACATCCAAAACCTCACCCACAGATACTGAATGGTTCAATAACAAGCGAGAAGAATCACTGTGCACCAAAACCTGAGAAACGTGAGGTGAAGCATTGTTTCAGTCGGTGTTGCTGCATGGGAGGAGAGGCAAAGAGGAGGCTGTTTAACCGGATGCTGACGCTATATATGTGACTTACAATTCATGGACACATTAATGTTAACCATGTGCAAATACTTTATGCAAATCAAAGGATGATAACAGCTGAAGTGCAAATCATAGGTCAGATCATATAACACACCCAGTCAAATCTTACATATAACGTGCCATCAAATGTCATTTTCTTTCACAGTCTCCTGTCTTTGAAAGAATGTTGTTTACACTGGTTGGTCACACACAGGTTCATCTGTCAGTGTTCCCCTTTACAGTCATACAAATGATACTTCCAGTTTGAAATGTGGGGCCTTCACATGAGTAAATGTCTCAGCTCTGACAGATACTCACACAAACTGAAGTGAAGATGCTTCCCCTGATGACAGTGAAACGGAGGCACTTGAAGTGCATAACCTGAGGCCATGATTTATTTCTTTGCTGACTCTATTATACAACCACTGAAATCTAATAGGTTGTGTATTTGCGGCAAACACACTGTGAACTGAGTTAATAAAATACATACGCAAATGGATGTTTCATCAGAATACCATGGCAAGATTAAAAGCTGGCAAAAGGGACCTGACCTGACATTCTATTCAATAAAAAGAAAATAATTACAAAATGCATGATGACAAGCAAGAAAAAAAAATTGAAAATGGATTGTGAAATGAGCAGCAACAAGAGAAAAACATTCACCACCACAATTAAACTCAAGGCTGTACTTTTGTTACTGGGTAAGAGGAACAGAAATGTCAACAATATGGTGTAAGGGATGCACAGAGGAAATCATTTTACTAAGCTGTGATGCAGGAAATTGAGTAATATCACAGGGGAAGTGAGTGGCTATAAGTGCGTGTATTGTATGTGTGTATTAGTGTTTTTCTGTGAGACAGAAAAAAGGGAGGTGTGTGTCATCACGTGTTTGAGGCTTTGCAAATTTTTTCTTCTCACAGCTCAGTCCACAAGATGGCGTAGAAATACAATAATGACAGTGGAATAATCACATCAGTGTTTCTACTAGATATAATGTGTGAGCAGGCAGAAACACACTGACCCCTGATGGACGAAGGAATGAAACCTGTGGTCCTCTGTAGCAATACATGAAAGTAAATACACTTTGTCTTCAGGTTGACTTATTATATGGCAGTTGTTTAATAGAACCAAGTATATTCCTCAGACAATTCGATTTTATACAATCTGCAATGTAAGAATTAATTTCTGTCTTTAATGACTTTTCAAGCCTGTTGCATCAAATAAGAAGGCAGGTAAATGGGAGTTAGGAAAGTGTTTACTTATGATACATCCCCAAATACTATCTATATTAGGGACAATAACACAGCAAGAAACTAGACAAAAAATGCACTTAGCCAATCAAATCATTTTCAATGTGACTCCAACATTTACAATATAATAAATAAAAGACACGAACAGGACAGAAAAAGTAGTGCCAGCAAAAAAGAAAACTCACCTGTACAAATCCATGCTCTACCCATGGACCAGTTATGAGACAATGGGCCCCCAGGTGTACATATGTAAAAGGCCCTGCCACACCGCTCCTACAGAGGAGCAACACCCCCAGACTGAAAGAGACACGAAACAGTTATAGTTGGTTCCTTCATCTCTTTGTGATTGTCTTGCATCTCTTTCGACAACACTGTGTGTGCTGTTGTGGTCATTTTATGACGGTTTGTAATTGTTTTGTGTCTCTTCGTAGTCATTTTGTGTCTCTGTCGTCTTTTTATGTCCCTTTGGAGTTGTTTGGTCGTTTTAAGCTCTGTAGTCATTTGTGGTCATTTTCTGTCTCTATGTGGTCATTCTGAGGCCAGTTATGTAAGCAACCACAAGAAGTCCTGATTTACAAAGACTAACATACATTTGTTACAAGGTTTTTGGGGGCCAGCCATATAATTGTGAATATCTGTAACTGAGTGACTGAGTGACTGACTGACTGACTGACTGACTGTCCGACTGATAGAGTTGAGTGATCATAGTTCCACCATTGGTCAGCCAAATGCCATAAAACTGAGTTGGACTTTACCCATTGGCCATTGCGCTTTCAAAATTAATTGGTGCAAACATGTAAATGAGAACAGCTTTCTGCGAATTCAGCTGTATTAAAATTCTGTACATGTGAGCACAGAGAGTAGGAGTGAAGCAAACAGATATAGATCTGAAACCCGCTGACTGTAGGTGGAATGGAAATAGGAGTAGGTGATGTCAGTTGTTTACAGTGGTTCTACCGCATCCTTGCACTTTGACCATATGCGGTCCAGCCATCAAGTATGTTGTTTGAGATACAGCATCTCTGTGCTGCATTTGAAAACTGATTCAGCTGTTTGCAGTCTTTACAGGCTCCGAAGGCACACTGTGATTTACAGACGATGCATCACATTACCTTCCAAAGTTCATGCACCTTATAGCTGAGTCATCTGCTTTAGTGGGGTCTTTGTCTGCACGCTCATTTTACAGAGGTGATTCTACAGGAAAACTGAGAACAGGAGCTGCAAAGAAATGACCACCTCCATCAACCACTGAAACCAAACATCCAACCAACAAAATCCCCCATGCTGTACACTAACAGTGATTGTCTTAAAGAAATCAAGGCCTTACCTCAAAGCCCCCAACTTCCTCTTCTGTGGTTGGAGTGTTGCTGTGTGTTTGTGTGTGAGTGTGTGTGTGTGTGTGAGTGTGTGTGTGTGTGTGTGTGTGTGTGTGTGTGTGTGTGTGTGTGTGTGTGTGTGTGTGTGGCTGATCTTTACTGATATTGACATCAGCATAGTTATAGCCTAAACTTTGGGCTGACTGTTTTTTGTTTTGTTTAAAACAAATGAAGATAAGACGTTAAAAATCAAATGTAAAAATCTGTCTGTAAAAATATAATTTGCAACCTTGGAAGCTTTCTGTTCCTTAAACAGTTTTGTTGTTTGAAATTTAGGAACTTAGTTGTCTACAATACAGAAGATTGTCTTTGACAAGAATGCAGTATTAACAGAAAATGATAAATGCAGTTTTGAACAAAAAGAGGATCTGATATGCAGTTTTTTCATTTTTTCTTTCCATTTTATGGCAGAAACAAATTCCCAGCTGAGTACCAGGTTTACTATAAATTACAATGTGTAAGATGACCATCTGATATGTGGGTAAATACATATCTTTGTAAATATGCTTTACATATCTGACTTGATTGACTTGTCTGCAATGACAGACATGTAAAAAAACAGTAGGCGTAAAACTTCAACTGATAACATGTTGCTGCCTGACCTCGGAACCTTTCAGAGCTTTAGGTCTATCTGCTCATGGTAAACATCCCATCATCTACATCCAGTCGTTTATATGGCTGGAGCTAATTCCAGCTCACACTGCATTGGTTGCCAGTCTATCACAGGGCTGACACGGTCAATCATTCACACTCACAATCACAACTACACCTACACCTACACTTGATATGGCAGTCGATGAAGATCAATGGGAGGAAAAAAAAGAAAATTATTAAAACTGTTCACTCTGATGTCTGTGGATTATCTATCGCACCAGGGATATTGTTTCTCAGAAGACAAGTTGTTGCTGAATTTAAGTAGTTTTCTAAATGCTTTTTAATGTCATGTTTGACCCGACTTGACTTTGAGGACCACATACCAAAAGTCTGTTCACTTTGCAAAAACCCAGACACTGAGATCTCGAAACCTTAGCAGATAAAAGTGAAACTATTTACAAGTCAAAAAATAGAAAAAATGCGGGGGTTTTCTTGTGCAGTTCAAGTGAACTCAACCTTTAATCAAAAACAGGGTACAACCATTCACTTTATTTGTAAATGACAGTTTACTGGTTAAATAACAGCTCAAACTCAAACTTTTTACGAAAACTAAAAGTATTTTCAATAGTTTACCGTCAGCAAAAATTCAATCCCAGACCACTGTATCGTGAGCTTAGATGTGGTTTTCTGTGGGTAACATTTCTGTAAATTATTCCTCAAAATATGAAGGAAACTATACTATAACTACTATACTGCTCTTTCTGCATCATGTGAGTGACAACCTCTTCAGCTGAGTTCCTCAGTCTGCACCACATGTCCATGAATCTCTCTGAAGTCTTCCGTTACAGGAGGCGCTTATGATGCTGTAGGTAGATATATCGGTGTTTGTGCAAGTTCCTGTCTACAGTTTCCTCCTGTCAGGCACACAAAGTGCTACTTGGCTAGAAAGATAAAACTAGAGGACCCAACACACCGAGGCAGCTCATATAAATCAACAAGATCAAATCAATTCTTTTACCATGGTTGACAATATTGTCACTATGACTGTCGGGTTAGTTTTGATCGCCACAGCTCACATGATTTCCAACGGTAAGCTGTCTCCTTCATTACTGTTAAATCTGTGATATCTCAGAAGTTTTGTAGGTTCTCACATGCTAAAGGTTGATATTTACGTTTACTTTTTAAAACTTATTTTTGTTTGTCTTCTTTATCCTTTTTGAATCACAGTGCCTGTGTTTATAACACGTTATTATTCCATTGCTGTGCCACGATCTTTTCATTTCTGACGTGGTGTCTTCTCGGTTTGGCTTTGGTGTCTGTTGTTATGCTGTTGCTGAAAACATTGGACATTATAATGAGCGCGATGTGCACTAATGTGAAGACAAATGCAAGAACAGAATAATGTGTAGCCTTAATAAGCCATTAATACTCATTGACACTTTGTATGTCAAATCCTTTAATACAAATAAATTTGCCTTATTTCCCAATGCTATCCATGGAAAAAAGGTCACAAGAGTTTAAATTATGCCCTTAAATTTTTAAGTAGAACAAATTCTGGGTCATAATATGTATAGACAGATGGGATACTTAGTTAGTGGCACTACTAACAGTTATGTTGATCGGTACCTATGTTTTATTCTGAGCCAGGAGTTTGTTTTGTAGACATACTATTAATAAATAAAGTAGTTTAACAGAACTTGCTGACGTCCATGACATATGCAGTGAAAACGTACTGATGCTACACAGTGAGGTTGAGAATAAAGGCTTATAAGTTTTCAGGCCTGGTAATAAATTGTGAAGAGATAGAAAAGTTGTGTACTGCACTTTGTCTCTCTTCACATGTTGCAAGGGGGAAAACCCAGTATCTGCCATCAAAATGTTCTGTCAGCTCTCTTGTCCATAACTGGGTTGTCTGAAAAAATAAACTTCAATTGAATCATGTATAGTTCATATTTCATAGGAATTAGATGTAGTGACATAGTGATCATTGCACTGCCCATTCGTACACATTGTTTTTTTCTTCACACAGGCTCCAGCCAAGCAGGGGTCACCGGGACCCTCGGCAGCAACATCACCCTTCAATTTCGATTCAATGACACTGTCCTTCATCATAACAGTCACGTTGCAGTTTATGTAAAAGGCGAGAGAAAGATTTATGAGTGTAAAAAGGCCAAAGCTTGCTCAGGAGGATGTTTTCTTAACATTGACCTTAACAAAACCTCTGTTGAGTACCACATTACAAATCTCAGATTAAATCACAGTGATCTTTACTGGGTCAGTTTGTTCGACTCGGTACCTCCCATAGACAGTAATAAGGTGCAGCTGATCGTCAAAGAGGAGAACAGAAGCAGCACAGGTAAATTCAGACTTTATAATTATAGAGTACACTTACAACAAATGACACCAATATAAATCAATATGAAGGAAGGACACTTTGTTAGTCTGTGGAGTGTGCAGTGTAAGAAGACTAACCTCCTGTTATCATAAAGATGTCAAGTTGTTATTATAGTCTGCAGATACGCATTAAAAATGAAAAGTTGTTGACTAAAGTTAGCTGATTTATTCATCTCTGAAATATTTCAGGTGAACAACCATGTGCTCATTTGCTGCGGTTTACACAGTTAGCCATCATGCACCACTTCTTTTAAACAGAGAGAAATTGCCCTTCACAACACCATATTGTTTGTTTCATTTACCAAGTAAATATTTACCACAACTGCAATGAATTACCAGGTCATGCCAGTATCTGATAAGTCTGATCCTTTTCTACATTTTTTGTTATTGTCAAAAAATATGACAAAAAGACCAAAACCATCAACAAATTTATCCTGAAAAGTATTATTTCCTGTATGACAAAAGTCTCATATCGCTTATTTCTCTGTGCTATAGAGCTCCATTGTTGTTCAAACACTATTAAGAAACACATCAATGACCAACAGTGTTTCACTAAGTGGTGACTGGATATAATCCTCTCTCATAGTGTATGTGTTTTTATTTTGTTATACCTGACAAAGATTGTCATTACATTTATGCAAAAATTTATATATAAAAACATTATTGTGAAGCCATAAAGCAGTCTTACTCATTGATTACTTTGCTACATTGACCATAAATGTCTAATACAACCAGCAATATTAAAAAAATAGATATCACGGTATAAAGTGTATGGCAAGTTTTTTGACAACAGTAGATAAATGTATAATAACTTCATATCATATTGCCCAACCCTTGTGGGAACAATAGTTTATTTTGTCTCCATCACACATAAAATGTCCTTCTGCTGTTGAGCTACTAGAGCACCAATAATGTATAAATTCTCAGTTTAAAATAGTTCTAATCAAATGTATTGTTTACTCCTGTATGAGCAACATTTGAACAGATGATGCTGATGGGAAAGTCTTGATTGGAAATGTTGTGGTTTTCACTCAGAACCTTGAATGTGAACCTCATGGTGGCACTAAAGTCATTAGGAAACATCCTCTCTGCACCATGGGTAACTGAATCAAATTTGATGGCAATCTTTCCAGCAGGTGTTGAGATATTTCAGTCTGGACTTAAGTGGTGGACTGACCACTGGACATTGCTATCTATGCTGCTAACATGGCTAAAAACTACAATGTGGGTCACAGTTTTATAATAAGCTACCTGTGCAATGTGAAAATGCCAGGGATAAGGCAGGTGTTCATATTTTTCTACCATCAACAAATCCCATGAATGGACAAAAAACAACAATAAAATTATCTGATATATTTTCACTCAGTGTCATAGGCTCCCACTGTTGTCCAAAAACTGTCATTGTGAATGAGACACAGTGTCACACTGGGTGACCTGTTCATTCTTTACAATGAATGTGGGCTCTACTAAAACACTAACTACAGCACCAAATGTGTATTAATCCACTGCACAAAATAGTCCCTGAACAAATACACTGTTTACTCCTGTTTGAGTAACGTTTGCTGAAGACTACAGTGACCAACTGTTTTATGAAATTACTGAGCCTTTTATATATATATATATATATATTTTATGATGATTTTTGAATCATTTACATCTTCAGTCTGCATTTTCAAAGGAAGGTCTGAAAGTAGTGAGAGCCTTTACTTTTCATGGAATTTGTTGACAATAATAAAAATAAAGAAAAACAAGTACTTAGAGCTGCTACACATTCTCATCGACGTGCATTTGAGATACTGTTTGCCACTCCACAGAGTGTTAGTTTCACTGCTGGTTAAAGGCGCTATGTCTGCTACTAAGGTTGTCAGTCAAAAAAAGTGAAAGTGCCTGTGCCTCGACATTACTGTCTGCTTCATATTTAATTTAAAAGAAAAAAGGGATTATACTGTATTAGTCTAATTGCATAGGAGAAATGTAGTCACACAATACCTCCCATTAAATTAGAATATAATTTGGTTCCATTTGATCAATTATTACCGTGGCACTACTTGTTATGGACATTGAAAAGAAATATTATTTTTCTGTAGCGACATGACTGTATATTTTCATAATTTCCTTTTAACTCCTACAGTTCCTCCGTTGCCGACTCACATCACAATAATCGAAGACAGTGGAAGTTCCAGTTTCTTTTCCTTTCACAACGTCATTGTCCTTGTGGTTTTACCTGTAGTGCTGCTGGCTGCAGCACTTCCCTTGTTGATCTGGTGTCTCGTGAGTACCAAAGGTAGGGACAATTGTTTGTTTTACTTGTTTGCCATGACTGATAATTCAGGGATATTGATGTTCTGACTCTTTATATGACTCTTGACATTGACCAGTTGTTGGTTGCTTGTAATTTAGGTCGGCATAGAAGTGTCAGCTGATCTCTTAAAATCAAAAACCTAATGTTGGACCTGATAATCCAGCAAAATGAAATCCAAGGGTGGATATATTTAAGGCTACAGTCAGTAGTATTTTCTACAAATTTTCTTTCAAGTAAATACAGTGAAGATGAGAAGAAATATTGTTATTCTGTGGAAAAAATGTGCAGTTGTGTGGTTGGATGCTCAAAAATGCTAACCAGATTGCAGTTTCACATCCTTTTGATACATGTGATGATTCACTGCTTTTGAAAAGAAGTCCTCCCTCAGAGCATGCAAATGTAAATGTGCCTACTATCACTGATGGATGTGTGGAAAAAAAAAATTGCTTGCAGTATTTGTTCACTATCATGAGTGCACTCTCACTCAGACACGAACCCCTCTGGCCTACTTTGTGTAGGAACATTGCCGCCCTGAAATATCTGACAGCCCCTGTGACCTCAGAAACCACTTTGACGATTTCCCGTACATGTATACAAATGCAGGCTTTTGCTGACTGTGCATTCCTGTATCATGTCGTGCTTATCCGGTCCAAGGTTGTCCACAGATAGCACTGCTCAAACACAGCTATGAGTCTTCAACTGAGAGAACATCACAACTCTGCAAAGGGACAGATGGTGGAGATGAGCTGTACTTGTCTGCACCATGTCTAGCTTATTTATACTACCAGATCATAAAGGATAGTTTTTTTTCTTACAATGTTATGGAAGTGATGCAGTTGAGTATCAGAGCTAGAAGTAAATGAAATGACTGATATAGTTTGATTAAGTCTGACTTCAACAGAATTAATAGGCTTTACTTCAATGTTTTTTTTTTCTAAATACAGGCTTAATTTGATGAACCTCTAATCACTGTTTTTCATTCAGCTTTTGCACAACTTTGCCCATTAATCCTTCAAACTGTGCAATAATTAATGTATGCATTTTTGCAGAGAGATAGAAAAGAAGATCTTCCACACACTTATGTCTGCATTATGAATGGAGCTGGAGTTGGGAGTTGATTAGCTTAGCTTAGCACAAAAGCTGGAAGCAGAGGGAAACAGTTAGCCTGGCTCTCTCTAAAGTTCAAAAAATCTGCATAGCAGCACCTCTAAAGTTCACTACTTAACACTGTTGCTTTTGTAATTTGTACAAAAACACTAAAACAGAAATACAATTTTGTGTTTTTTTTGGGAAGTTACATGCTGCAACTATTTACATGCTTGACACCCTACAGTTTATCCTTTCCCCCAGTACTTCTGTGTAGCATCTGCAGCTTTGTCACAAACTCACTCTGATGACAAGACTCCAGGAATTACGTCAGTATCGATCAATTGAGAAAGACCATGAATAGACTTATTTGTTGAAATGTCAAACTGTGTTATCGCTAATGCTGATTATTTGTCTAACTGACTCTATATTTTACCTGTTTTGCTTCTTGTCCAGAACAACAACAACCACAGCAACGAAACTCTAATCCCACAGTACAGGTAAGAACACTCTCATCATGTCCCTCCTTCAGACACATGCATGTCAAAGTAAATATTTAAAACTTCTTCACTATGATTGTCTTTGCAGGAAACAAGCCTGGAATCCAACAGGGTACCTCCACCCTCACTGGTTTACAGCATCCTGGACTTTCCTAAAAGACCTTCTCCAATTTTGGGGATTAATCCAAATGACACAGAATACGCAGCCGTCAACTATCTCCCAGAAAATAGAATGTGACACACAGCTGAATGTAAACCGACTAGTCTGTCTTGGTTTGAGTAAAGGTTTTCCAGATGACTTATATACTGTCTATATAAACTAAAAATATATTTCTCGGAGGTGATGAATGCTGTTTTTGTAATAGAGCCATGAACCCTCCAGGATGTGAGCTTCTTGCAATAAATTACAAACAATGCAGTTTTGACTTGATGGGTCATAAGTATGTAGGTCTCGCTTTGTTTTTGGTGGTCGCAAGATTGAATGTTGACAGTTGCCAGTGGCAAACCACAAGCCACCATATACACTGTCGCAGTAACAAACCAACTTTGCTTTATTTGTTTCAGGGGAATTTTGTCATTGTTAACAAATGCCCTAAAAAGACTGAAACCACCAATGAACTGATTTTACTAACATCCTACTAACAAATGTCCCACGTAACTAAAGTCTATAGAGCTTCCATTGTAATTTATTCAAATAGATTAAATTTCGTGTTCCTGGGGAAATATTCTGAGAATGTTTTTTTGTTGATGATAACAAAAACGTTGAAAACTGCCAACCTTATCTTTTAAAGTAGCTATTTGTAAGTTTTGCCATTGCTACATAGCAGCTGTTTACTTGCCAGTCTTGCTAAGAGTTTCAACCATTGATGCATTTACAATACAGGAGGTTATAATCTGCCTACTGAGTGGCAGTACTGCTTCAGGGCAGCCTGGATGCTACAATGACTTCTAATTGGAAGTTGACGAGAGGTGCCGGCAGGGCAGGAGCTATCTGGTTAGCTTGCTTGCTGGCTAGCTTGATAATTTAAGTAGAAGAAAATAAGTGATAGTAATAGAAGCAAAACAAGGGGGTTGCTTTCCATTGCTAGAGACAGCGCTTGGTGAGTACAGGATTGAAGTTTGATGCTGAACTCACAATATTTCTTCTAGACTGGTAAGTGAACAGCTGGTAATGCTAACGTTGGCTATGTATAAATAACAAAACTTACCAATAGCTCCTTTAAGTCACATTACAGCTTAAGTACCCATAGATAATATTGTCACCATGTGTGTAACTACACTTCTAAGGCTGTGGAGGTGTGATATCTTTGTGATATCTTTAGTATTTTGCATATCCTCTGTTAATATTTAGTTTTCATTCCATTTATCACAGTTTTGAACTTTTGACTCATCAACCTTCCTCTGTTTATGGCTTTTAAAATAAACAAAGCCAAAAATAACTAGTGAAATGAAACAGGGACATGGTGAAATCTTATTTGTAGATAAAGATCTGTTACCAGCTCAACAGTATTGTATCACAGAATACAGATGTGATCTTTCCATCTACTGACAGTTTTTTCACACTCAGTATTACACATACAACATCTGACACTATCTCACTACCATTTTCCATTGCATGGCATCTGAAGTTCTCTTTTAACTGAGTGATGTTTTAATAGATTTGTCAGACAAATTATTGATTTAGTTCTCATACCATGTATTTTTATGTGTTACAAATGTATTATGTAGAATAAAACTCACCCAACATATGTACATGCTAGTGACAGGCATCTCACATGTTGGTTGTTACTCAGGAAGGAAAATAACTGACTAAGCAAGTAAATAATGACAGTGGTGTTAAGATCGATGGTCACATGGCAATGCAACCAAACACAGACTGAAGGTTCATCTCTGTTCTGAAAACCTTGGCGGTGAAATAGCAAAAGTAAAAGCTACAAAGCTACAAAGTTTATTGTCCCAACAGGTGTTATTATTTCACATATTACTGAACAGTTTCTTCCTGAAAAGCACACAGTATTTTGTGAGTGAATGTCAAAATAAGAAACTTTTGTGTGTGTAAATAATGTTGTGTTCATAATTGTCGGTTCTATGAGTCTCATGTACTGTAAGTAACAGCAGAGCATGTTCGAGGCACTATATGAAATGAGATCAAATGCACTGTGCATGGTTCACATTGTGTGTTAGTTGTAAAAAAAAAAAAAGAAGTATTCTTGTACTTGTTAAGCTTGTGCCCTGAATAAAATAGCTGCTGATTCCACTTTGTACACTACATGTATCTGGTTTTTGGCTCTTCATTGTTTTTAGTAGTTATTCAAACAACATTTCAGCAAGTGGAGTTTAAACACCATTGTTTTATTTGGCACAGGTATTGCTAAAGTGGCCTGGGGTTTTACCCAGCCGTCAGAAGCCTACGTTACACCACGCTGCACTGATCCACTACACATTCAGGGTCGTTCTTTTTAGTGCATCAGTGGGGTTGGCCCGTATGAATTTGTGATAACCACACCATTTGTTTTTGTGTGAACCCTGTGTGATGTTGCCTTTCTGAAGCTGCACACAGGGTCCCAGGTGCAAGTGCTAGTTCAGCATTTAACGTTATGACACCTAGATTTGAACAATGCAAAGTCTGTACAATAACTACTTTCGATTTTTCCTCCAGCCCCCAAAAGGCCTGAATGCAGCCCTGTCGCAGTGTGTGCCTTGTGGTAGCCTCATGATAGCCTGTATGCTTCTTTGATCTGAATTACTTTTTACTATTTTGGTTAGGGTTCGTTCAGTAAGTTTCATTTCATGGTAACGGACATGCTAATGAGTGGCCAGACCTTTTCTCTCACAGCCCAGACATGTAGAAATGGGTAAACCCCTGGAAATTCATCTATTTCCTTCAAATTAGTATTTCTTTGAGTCATTTGACAGTGGAAACAAAACATCTTGCGTGATCAGCAATAAGGACAAACGCAGTAAGAAATCACACAAGTTTAATGTTGTCTCATGAGTTTTCCAAAAATCCATCTGAGTTACATTAACTAAACTTGAGAAAACAACTTTAGTAAATTTTAACAGATGAATCGACATCTGTTCGGTCACACTGACAGTCATTACAGAGAGATCTGTTTTCCATTCAGTTCTTCATTTGAGATGAAGATTAGTGAAATAGCATTCATGTATGTAGTATTTTGTTACGATTATGATATTGTTAACTATAAATTCACTATGATTGTTCTTTAAGATGTCTCTAACCCTATTTGAAAAAGAGTAAATCTATATTTCAGCTATCTTAAACTGAACTTTAAGCTAGCTCTGGTGTATTGTAAGGTGTGAACCTGCACAACACTGCCTAGCATTGTGAAATGTGGTAGGTAATATCTCAATTGTAACATCTGACTGTTAAATTTGACACTACTACTGTTTGTTTCCACAGATGTTGCATCAGTTTGTTACCTCCTATTTTAATCTTTTTTATTTTCATGTTCCATGTGAACAAACAGTGGCCTAACCTACAACTGTGAGAGTCTAGCTCCTGAAATACACAAAGCGGCGTGATGTGCTATTGATTCAGAAGCGCTACAGGCAGGTCACTCATTACACCAACTGGCCCTTCTTCCATTTTAGTCCGTGCAGGGACATATTTATTTGAAGACATTAAAATACTCTACTTCATTTATAAATACATTGTTTTTTCAACAAAAAGTTCAATAGCCTGCTGTAAAATTAAATTTCTAACTGAAAAAATCCAGAATCTATTTCAAAAGTTTAACTTCTGGACGTAACGTCTCTGGTTTCAGGTTTCCACGTCACACTTCTGTAAGTTGCATACTGGACCTTGACTGGTTGGGGAATTTTTCAGAGCACTGTATCAGCTCAGTGTATGTAGGAGGGAAAGCGTCAACTGAACCCTGAAGATAATCATTGAAGTGAAACTGTTGCTGCCTCTCGCTTCTTTGAGGTAAAGATGGACTTCAATGTCTTTTGTTAGTAGTGAGCATGTTTGCTGCTGTGCTCCACCTGTTGCAGTGGCACAAGCAAACAATGTGCACTTTGCACAACATAACACCCACCTCTACTGTATCAACGTTTCTCATAAACAAACCAAACCTTTTCCATTACAGGGCCGCTGAGCTGTTGCATCTTCTAACCAAGCAACATTGCAATGCAAACAATGACAAATAATGTTATCTCTGTGTGTGTATCTGTGTGTGTATCTGTGTGTGTACCATAATAGTGTGTTGACTTCACCTGAATGGCACTACATTATCAGGATTATTGCATTAACAGGAGGCCTCTGATGTATGTAGCTCAATTGTAATGATCACAATTCCAATTCATTACATTTTGCACCATTTGCTCTGTCATTCCCTCCCTGTCCTTCAGAAGTGTTTTTCCTGCCTTTTATCATTACATGGCCTCCACACCCATCTGCACACCTGCTCCCAATTCCTTGATAGGCTCCCCAGTATACCAGCCCTTTAGCCAGTTCCCTGCCAGGCTGTCTGCTGCAGTGTTTTACCTGACAAAGGTTGATGGAATTGCTTTCTAAAGTTAAAGCTCCAGCTGGGAAACTTGGACCAATTCCATGCACGTCAATAAGTGCTGTTAAGAAAATAAGACAGATAATGTATGTGAAAATTAATCATAAATGTTGCAAGCTAGTTAACTGGCTATGTGGAGAAGCTAGCTAACTAACTAATTACATATTGCTAGCTGAGACTTCTAAAAAAAATGACAGAAAGGAATGCTGCCTGCCGTAGGCATTTCTCGTGGTCAGCCATGTTGATTGTTCATGTTGGGTGTCACAGGTGGTGGACTGCTTCAAGCTCGGAAATGTCGAGTTTTCAGTTTGGAAATTTCTGACCTCTGATGCGAACAGAATGAGAACAAAGACTTGTACAATTAGAATAGATTTGCAAGTGTTCACGTGGTTGTATGATTACAGAGTTGGTCATGGGAGGATTAAAATGCATTCACAATATCATATCTATTAAATTTTGGTTTCCATTTGGTATCCATACTTGTTTGGTTTTTAGGAACTTCACTATTTGTAAATCCCAAGTCTATATATAAGATCTTTAAGAAAAATCAAAGCTTCCCAGATGTAATTACGACTTGGAAGTTAACGTCAAGGCTATTTACAAGTCAAAACTCATAATTATGCTCACTCCAATATGAACACAGTTGTGAGAAGTCAAAGAAGGATTTTTATTCTCACATTATTTTTTGAGAGGTCAGAAGTGGTGAAAGCATCCAGTATTTGTGCAACAAAATTGAAAATTTTTTTTTTCATTTTATCCCTGTGATTATCTTGTGACTCTTGTGATTTATCAGTGGAGCCCTTGCTGTTTTTATGCTTCTACCTGCTTTATGACCCATTGCATACATGTATAATAATCAGTTAATGCAGAGCTGTTGATCTGTAGGAGTGTTATTAACATAGATTCTGTTTTCCACTTGAAATCAGCAGAAAGATCAGCGAGCTGTGGTTTGATTCTAAAAATTGAAAGGTTTCAGAAGTCAGCAAATCAAATTTACAACATGTAATTTGGTCAGAGCTAATTTTCCACTTATTGTTCCTAAACATTATTATTTCCTCTTCAAAGAGTGCTCACACTTACAGTATGAGTGACTGTCACAGTTGTGTCAGTTACATTAATTTTAAGATAATTTTTCATCAACTTTCCACAACTAACTAACTCGAATCTTGTTGGCCTTGCTGGCATCAGAGCACTCTCATTCCTTTCTGCCTTTGACATGAATCATATTCATAGAACCTTCTACACAGCAGACACTTTGACCTTTCATTGCAGGAAAAGCACAGGAGCAACTGTAATAACATTAATGATGGCTGTGTTTTAGTAACCAATGCAATGCAGCAGTTAACAAGTTATTAGTTAAACCTGAGTTTGATGAGTAAACTAGGTTCATTTCACTTTAGTTTCACTCAATATTTTCCCCCTGGCCATGTGGAATCCATGGGACCCACTGCATTAGAGCGAAGCTGAACATTATGATCTTCAAGAGATTGATGGTTTTTTTTTTTTGTCCAGCAGCTGATTTTTCTGACTTTTAAATGTTAAAAGATGGTTTGACGTTCCAGCCTGGACTCTGGAAACTTTAACCACAATCCCCCAAATATGAAAGGCCAAGTTTTGCTATCCAAGTGCGCAGTTTGTGATCTGATTTAATCTCACAAAATGCTTCTGTTGGATTTCTGCTCATATTATTTATTTGTGAGTTACATGATACAAAATACTGTTAATATTTTTTGAAGACATCAAGAAACATCATTACCTATAAAGAGCCTCCTGAAACAGGCATTTTGTTTCTAATAATATTATATTGTATATCTCTACCATGCAAACAAAGCACAGCATGTATTGCGGGTATTACGTGTTTTTCCTACCTTGACTTTCAGATGATACATGCCTTTCCCTTTCATGTCAACATTAGTTATTCATCTTTTAATCTGGTTTCACCTCTCTAAATCTCAGCCCACATCTCTATGTTTATCAAATAGAGAAAGAACATTACAAGTGAAAACAACATGGAAATTCTGTCTAATTATCAGGCTAATCTTTCCTTACCCACACCTCAAACAGTCCGACTAAAGGCCAACTTCTCCACCATTTTGTTGCACAACCACAATATAGCAAGCAATTCCTGATTATTTCATCTTGCTGCTCTCTACTTCCATCTTCCTACCCAGATACCTTCTGCCATCTGCTTGGTTGTAATGAAGGTCAATCCACTGGAGGATCAAACACAAATAATGACTCAGGTTCTCATTATGAATTAATTGCCCAGAAACATACCACCCAGAAACTGCCTGTCTGCTTATAAATCCTCAGACTGTATTGGATACACAGACAGTGGTAATTTGCAAGTTTCTGATATCAACTTCAAATGATATTACGAAAAATCCCTGCCAGGGTGAATTTAATCTGCAAAAGAAATTTTTCTTTCCACATATTTTACTGGCTTAGTCTCTCAGTTTATTTTCTACACACACACTCTTCCACATGTCATTGCTTACTGGTCACTCTCTCTACCTCGACACCACTGCCCTAACTTTCCCGATGGAGAGTGAAGGATCTTAAACACAATGTTTTTAGGAATGTTCATGACATGTCAGTTTCAAGCCAGCTCTCAAAAACTGTAAATTTTCAACTGCATATAAATGTTTTAATGCAAAGTATATCTGAAGAGGATTTGTTTTTGTAATTCAGTGACCTCATTGCTCAAGTAAAAAGTCAGTTAGAAAAGTCAGCTGAGACTGCCCTCTGGTGGCAGTGAGTTGCAGTACTTGAAAACTCCACAGGTCAGGTACACATTTTTGTCTTGCAAACCACACACAGGCATGCTGTATTAATATACAGTAGTAATACCAACTTGGAACAAAAATATGACAAAATATTTATTTGCTTATGTAGAAAATATAATGGAACCAAATGAAAGAGCGCCATCTCCAGGTCAGCCTATCAAGCGTAAAGGAGAGCCATACACTTGTGAAGACTTTAACTTCTAGGTTGTCTGCCAAATTAGTAAATGTAATTTATTTACCTACAAATACAGTGCATCAGAGCTTAAAGCTAACATTCACCATCTTCCTGTGTGCCAAAAAAATTAAATTTAGTTCAGAAAATTAAAATTGAAAATATACGTATGACATGACTGTATCCTAAACTAACCACTGCACATCCCATCCAATCGGACGGCTAATAGTATGGCTGGACTGGTAATCTGGTATACGGGACATTTTCCCAGTGGGCCGACTCACCTTGGGGCCGATATGATTTGAATTTTTAATATTTATTTTTAAAAAACAAACAAACAAACAAATAAAAAAAACACCCCTCCACACGAACATACACATACACAATCATAGATGACCAGCCCATAATACTGGGGCAGTGGCCCATTGGTTCTTTTTTCTTATGACACCAGTAAGACCAGCCCATTCACATCTCCTACTGTGCTGGCCGATTTTTTGTCCCAGTCCAGCCCTGTCGACGAGCATGCATCATTTCCTCAACAGCAGGTTTTCAGTCCTGCAGGGTCTGTTCTGTTTTTAATTTACATGTTGGCCTTGGGTCACATAGTACAACATTTTATTTCTTCTCCTCTAAAGACAAACAATCTTTCTTCAATGCAGTGAAAAGTTTCTGAAATTGAGTACTACTGAGGGAAAATAGATACAACTTAACATTTAGATGACTAATTCTTTTTTATACACTCATCTCTATCTCCGTTATGTCTCTGTAGTTTCTGTCTGCTTGGATTTGATACCATTTGTGCAATAACATCTTAGAGATTTCATGTTTAGACAAGATTAAAATATCTGTTACCAGATAAATTTTCAATGCCTCTAGATCTCATTTTGGCATGTTAACTCAGCCTATGGGTTGTTCCATTCTAAGCTAATAGGGGTGTTAATAGTTTGTGGGGCTCACAACCCAAAATATTAGGCTGAGCTGTGGCTCACCTTAAAGCCTACAGTTGACTTCAACATGATGATGAACTGTTTATCCCATTCCATTTCAATTCCAGTTTCAATATCAATATCAGAATCAATCAGTTCTTAATCTGTCTGCTTGTAATGTTACAGTCCTACCACTAGATGTCCCTATACACATTCACATGTCTGTGCCATCACTGAATCAAGCTGTGTGGCCAGCAAGTATGAGTCATGTGCCGAATTGTTGGTAATTCAACATACAGTTACGGTCAGAAAAAGGTTGAAGTTAAAAATTGAACTGTAAGTCATCATTTCTACAGTACATTGAGCCTATTTGTTCAAAAGAAGAACCTTTGAATCAACACTGTGTAAAGCTCATGTTTCAACATTTAAACACCAACATTTAATCAATATTGTCTCAATGTTATAACTGCCATATATTCATTTAAACGAGGACATAGGAACAACCATTTAATTTGCCCAGTGTTCTCTCACCAGTCTGTGGAGAAGAAGGTAATGTTTAATCTTTTAACTAAGGACAATCCTACGTCAACTTATAGCTGCAAACTGGCAGACCATTATTTTCAGGTTCTTTAGCAGTGTACTGTTGGGTTGGGTTGCCAATGTTAGCTCAACAATACAAGCAATTCCTTACATGTTCCATTATCTTGCTGTCTGTTAAGTTTGACTAAAGTTGTAAATGATTAGTTAATTAATTATTGTAGGTGGTTGTATATGGTGCTAATCAAAAAGTGCCAGATAGCATAAGGCTATCCATCAGATGTCTGCCGCGCATACAGTCTTCATCAGGGTCTGCATTCTCTGGAGAAGAACCTGCTCCGCTATCGTAGGGTGCAGACTCCAGCTCTGCTGCCCAGGTTGAACTTAGTGTGGATAAAAAGTTAGAACCTTTTAGGCCACTGGTGGCGAATTGCCACCCCAACACAAGCATCTTGGTGCAGGTGATGACGGCAGAGGAGAAAGAAAAGACTTGTCTCACTGTATGAGGGAGGCTTCTCCGTGGCAGAGCTCTTTGGTAAGATCAAGACTCTTGTGCCTTTTGGACCATCTGGTGTGCTACTATCTCAGTGATGTGGAGAAATCCCTCCTCTCCCAGTGCCGCCTTTAACTTAATATCAAATAAAAAGTTTAGTTGATGAAGATAGCATGATGATGCAGTGGTTAGCATTGTCACCAGCAGCAAGCTCTTTCTGACTTCCTCTTCCTGTGTTGAGTTTGTAGACACCTCTCTATTGCTTTCCATCTGTGTGGTTTTCCTCTGGGTGTCTGAAGACTTGCATGTTAAGTCAATTTATCACTGTAAATTGCCTGTATGAGTGATAGATAAGCAATGTGTGCTCTCTTATGACTGTTGAGAAACAATGTGTGGACTTGATACACATTTTAGAAACATAAACATAAAAAATGTTGCAAATTAAAAAATTACACACAAAATGAAAATGCAAGTCATTTGTTATGAAACTGTAACTTGAAAATGGGAATTGGTTAAAGACAAATGAGGATGTAAGATAGGGAGGTGTTACAGGAGAATGAGCTCCACTGTCTCCACATGAGCTGGAAAGGTATATCACATTTTGAAATAGCTGAACATTTTTTCACATCCCAATATGTGACAGATTAAAAGCAGTTACTGAACATGTATACAGCTACACAAAATCCGAGATTATGGGATGATTACCTGAGGAAATACAGGAATAAACAGTACAACAGTATTATTTCCTTCAAAGTCTTCCCCATCATTCAGTTGCTCTGAAAAGTTTTATAACTTGATATTTTACTTGAAAAAAAAAAAAAATTAATCGGACTAAAGAATTATTTGGGCCATCACTGCTACTGCAAAACAGAGTGAGCTTTCTCTAATTACTCAGATTTACAACTGAGTATTTAATCTAAACGTAATTTTAACGTACGTGTAATTTGAAAAGTCCACAATACTGCAAAACTATTCGAGAATCACCAGCCAGCTGTGCAGCTATACAATTTTTTCAGCTACTTCTACTAGCTAAGTTAAAAGCTACCTGTTCAAAACAAGTGTGTAGAGAAAAGGCTGGCAATGTTCGTAGTTTTCTCATTGTCAACAAATCCCATGAATGGACGAAAACCAATGTGCTAGTGTGTCACTGTGACTGCCCACCAGTAACCCAGTGATTCCCACCTTCCAATCACTACCCGCCAACCTACACACCTGTTCCACATTCCCTATTTACATCCCAGTATATACACCAGTCTATTTCCACCTACACTCTACCAGCTTGTCCATTGTGCCATCCCAGCTGTAGCTTTCCACCTTCACCTTCCTCGTTTTGACCTGCTGCTTGTTTTTGGACTCTGTCTTTTGCCTGCTCCTTTGCCTTCGTAAGCTTGGTTTTGTTTGGCCTGTTGCAAACCACTATGCGCTCCGTGACTTTGCCTCCTGGTTGTCCCTGCCTGCTTTTGTCTGCCAAGCCTAAATAAAGGTGAAATAAAGGTGTCTCCGAGTCGTGCATTCAAGTCCTTCTGGTTCTGACAAGTGCAGAGATCAAACAGGTGGTTTTGAATCAAGCCATAAAAATACTGGAAAGGCCAAAATGAAGTTTAAGTAAATTCTATTTTTCTCCTCCTCCAAACCTCTTGACTGACACTAATATGATGATCACTTGGTGGTAGAGAGACACATCTGTGTAGTTTCCTCACATTTTTCTTTGACTGGCTTGAGGAAATTTTTTTTTTTTTTTTTAAAAACTCAACACAATGACTTCAAACTGTTTCAGAATGGCTTTTGTGTCTGTCTACCAGTGTACCGAACACCCTTCCCCCGCCCCTGACTGTGGTTTTGTTTGTATAACATGAGAGACGTGAAACTGCTGTGACATTTCTGAGAAAGACAACTGAGTTACATGAAATCAGGTTGACTAAATGGACTAACTGAAGAACGATCATCTTTTGAGACTTTCCACCAGATCTCATGGAAACTTTGAAATGCTGGAGTTCACTACATGGATATGTTATGTTTATATTCCTTACAACGGTCAGCAAAGGTAAAACAATATAAAAACTCTTTATTCTTAAATTTTCATTTACTTCAGGGACCTCTTTGTAGCTTTTGGTTCACTTTTAACCTTATCTTATCATACACAATCCACAAAACTAATCAGACGTGTGAAAGTAACAAAGTGTCTTCAGTAAAAGTACATCAGCCACAGAATGTTGGTTAGCTTATCAGCAGCATGTGGTTTCCACTAACAGATGACATCCTTATTGCATTGCCCTGGGCACCCTTACAAAAGTTCCAGTGTCTATAATTTTTTCTAAACTGATATTACACATTGGTAGGATATCTTTTTACGAATAGGATGTATTTTTTTCAGTTTGGAGCTTGGTTCAGTCGCAGTAATGAAACCGATGTACGGAACTCCAAATCTCTTTGTCAGAATTGTAAAGCATGTTATGATGTATGGTTCATTACAATGTGCTTCACAGTACAATGAGAAAATGACAAGAAGAGGTAAATTAAAAAGTGGATTGACAATATAAAACATGTTACTTAAAATGCAGCTGCTGCCTTTTCTATCACTATAGATTTGCTGCATTTGGTTTGTTGCTGATCTCAAAGAAGAGATCTTTATTTCTGGAGCAACCCGGTAAAATAAAGGTTAAAACTCATTTCAAAAAGTTAAAAAATATTGATTCTAATTTTACTTTTCTCCAAAGGGTCAGCATGTGAGGCTCCTTCAAGTCCTGAGTGCTTCAGGAAAAATTCTGAGCAATCTGTTTACATGTGTGAATGGAGCATGAACACAACTGAGAGCGATGTGATATTTGACCTTTACTTCAAGTGAGTATTTTTTGAGCTGCAATATTTTAGAATGGTAACATTTACTCAACCAATAAACCATCCATTGTGATTTTAGCTTTTTTAGTATTTTGTGAACATGTACTGATATAACAAATTCTAGACACAACAAACACCCATCAGTCCTCTCAATGTGCAATTAAAATGGTTGTCTTAATGGGGTCATTGCCAGTTTTTCAGTGTACCAGTGCCTCAAATCTCTTCCTCTATAAATAACTGTATAAATTTCAATTATTTTGTCAGTGGCTAGACTTAAAAGCCAATTTAAGGTGTGATGAGCGCGTCTCTCACCAAAAACAGACAGCTGCAGTAGCAGCAACGCAGCAGACATGCAGCTGGTGTGAACACACATGCATGCGTCTCCACAGCAAGATAGCTAAGGCTGCTGCCATGCACACGCAACACAGGTTTCAGTTTCAGTCACTATTTTTGATGTACAGGAAGAAACTCAACACAATGGAATAGAAACCCCAACTACATCGTCCAACTAGCAATTTGTAATTTGTAATTGCAGAGTAAGGCAGACACCCCAGCACAAATGAGTAAATGCTCACTACGATGTAGTCTCTGTGTTAATCCTAATAGACCTATTAGACTATTAATCCTACCTCTAATCCTAACCAATTTACTAGGTGGCACAGTTACATAACATGAGCATCGGAGAAATGTGGTCATTGAACCGTGGTCCTGAAGCTGTAACAGGAACATAGTATTGGCCCTCCATACCTTTCTAACGTTGGATTAGGGGAGGCTGTGTCCCACCATTGCTAAAACCCAAAACTGACGATCCGACATTCACACGTACTTCATGCCGTTTTGTTCAAGCAGGCCCCAACCCCTTACTATTGGGAAGAGAGTGAATACGCATATTTCCCAAAATGTTGAACTATCCCTTTAAAAAAAATCTTAAGGCAACTTAATGGAAATGGGGAAAACTGGATTTCTTAATGTCTTGTGATGTCTTGTGAGATGCTTCAGTTTCTACCACTTTCAATACATTCATACCTCAACATATTTACCTGCAGTGAAATGAAATTTGGCAACATAAAGGAAACCTACTTTGAGATCGCTGAGGAACTGCTGATCCGACATCGATCTGTTAACATTTGGGTGGAAGCTCATGTAGGAAACTTCAGCTGCATGTCACCCAGGAAGTCTGTTGTACTCGGGGACACAGGTAATGGATACTTCTCTGATTTCAACCTACAATATGGGAGATTAAAACACAGTGTCCTTTTTGAAGTAAAGATTAACTGAGAACACACTGACGTCAAGGTTTTCATTTTACTCAAGATACACTTCAAATGTATATCAAGTAAATATCAAAATAATAAAAATAATAATAACAATGATATTAAACACAAGTTTTTACTTCTCCTCAACAGTCAAGTTTGAAACACCACAAATAATTTCAGTGTCCTGGGTAAAAAACAATAGCTTAAGAAACAACATCAGCTTAATCTGGAAGGCTGCAGAGAACCATCAAGCTTCAGCCGAGGTCAGGTTTCGACGAGATGGACACCCCACAGAATCATGGGAAAAAGTAGGGTTTTGTTACCAAATCTATTATATCTGAAGCAAATTTACAATTCACCCTAAATAACCATTTTAACCTTATGTGTACATTGCTGTTACAGATATCAACATACACCACCATGAGTAAGTACTCGTGTCTTATATCTTTGTAGTCACAGTCTTTCAAATGAACAGTTCTGAAATCAACAGTTCTGCATTATTTCATGTTTCTGTGGGTGATATATTTCTTTCTGTGCTTCTTGTGGATTTACTTCTGAATAACACTGAAGGACCATGCTGCTGGTTTTGTTTGTTTTAGCCCACTAACTGTTAGCTAAAGTCCTTTATTTCTCCTTTCCTCAGTGACTGCACAAAGTTCTCCACAGGTCCCAACCTCACAAAAAGGGCTGACTCCTGAATGTACGTATCCATGTGGCTAACATTTGTAAGCTATTCAAGAATGCACAAAATTTAAATAAGGCTCCCATCTATCCCTCACCTCAACCATATGCTAGACCGGTCAGCCCATTGACCACAGAGATCAAACTGATATCAACCCTCCATCTAACTCCCAGTATGACTGCCAACAAGGCAAACCCTGAATATTAAAGTTACTGAGCATTACTGGTATTAATAACTGTACTGTAATTGCTAAATATCAAATTCAAATCCCTTACACTACTGGAAAAGGTAATCATATTACTGTAACACATTACTGTGAGTAATGCATTACTGCCTTACACTTAATCATAGAGGTGGCAGATCAGAACGTTAGCTTCATGTCTTTTTTGTACCACAAATTTTGCTGAAAACATTGACAACCAACCAGTTTCGTCATTTAGGTATGAGGACTGCCTCTTAAAAGGACATTTTTCCTTGCGACTGTCACCAAGTGCTTTCTGACGGTGGGAATTGTTGGGTCTCTGTAATCAGTTTTAAAGAGTATGGACTAGACCTGCTCTATTTGAAAAGTACCTTGACATAACTTCTATTGTAATTTGGTACTATATAATTAAAAATTGACTCGACCTGACTTGACTTGTTGAAAATGCAATGTGTTACAGGAAAAATATTCTACCAAAGTTTATAATGTCTAGTGAACAAAATGTCTGTTTCCCTTTTAATCTTTACAGACAAGGTCATTGTTGTGAACCTCTTGAAGCATTCAGCTTACCAGTTTCAGATCAGACATCGGTCCACTCAGGCCCAAAACCCACTGTGGAGCAAATGGTCTCCAGTTCTGATGGTTCCTGCAGGTGAACTCATGTTATCTATTTAAATTAATGCATGGATCATAACTTTTACGGTTTATTGGAAAGCACTTCAGACTTTGAAACCATTATTCTGGTTTGAAATAATTTGTGTCTGATGATTCACATCATTCAATACAAGAAAATGAATGTATAATCATCATAAAGCTGCTGTAGACGTAATAGGAAAGTATATATGAATCACAAAGGGACACTTTAACAGTGAGGAGCGTCAAATCCCCACCCATGACCCATCCACCCATGATTCATATCTATAACTCTAGATTCTCCCCTATCTAAACAGTGGTTTCAGGTATGACTATGGGCCTGAAATGGTCTGTGCACACTGGATACCATATACACTGTTGCTCATGAAGTTGGAATAAAATATTTTTCTTCTTTTTCCATGAAATGATTGTGACAATGTGATTTATTTAATTTCACCTGGGTAATTGGGACACATAATGTAATCATTGCACCTGGTCAAAAGTGATTACTGGTGCATTTAAATAGAAATAAACAGAGGATTGTGTCTGAAAACAAAATTATTCCAACTTTATGGGCGACAGTATATATGAATACGTGTTCCCATCACTCCCACCCCAACACCATACAGTAATTTACATTTTTTAATTCCTCACAATCTATACACTTCCCTCTTTCCTCTGGAGATGGCAAACTATGAACAGATGCAGCTTTACTGAAAAGTTTGAAACACATTTTCAGTTGTAAAAGTGAGACAAAGAGGCCTCAAACCCATTGCAAAATTTCTCTAAAAATGAAATAGTCTGTTCACTAATATTTTGTTTGTTACTGCAGAGCTGGAACATGAACCTGAAGTTAACATCAAAACAAAGGTTGTAAATGGCACTCGAGAGGTGGCACTAACTTGGAAGGTAAACCAGTAAAGGAAAAACATCCACATGTCCATACATTTCAAAATTGGTGCACAGAAATTTGAAGGACAAATTTGTCCCAAACAGGAGATGGATTAGAGAATAGTGTATTGTCAGAAAATCAAGCGTCAGAAAATTACAATTGAATTGATGACTTGATGTGTAAAATGTCCAATAAAGCATCTGGAAAGTATTTTTATTTCAGTCTCTATCATTTGCAGATGTCAATTCTTTATGTTCACAATATATATTAACAATATATAAAATAGACAAATATAAAACCGCACTTAGAGAGCAAGGCCAATGTCAAACAATATACATCAGGGAGAAAAATGTATTGGTTCTTCCCTGGCCCTCGCCCCATTAGGGATGCAGCTATTTCACTATTAACGCTATCGCTTTAAAACGTCACGGCTATGTAATGGTAAAGGCTCAGCTACAGGGGTGGATGTCTGTTCTCACTCGAAAGAGGGACATTATGACTGTAAATTAATTTAGGCGCAACCTGCACGGAACATTTACGCCAGTGGTGCACCAGCTTTAAGTGCCGCGCTTATCAACAGAATGAAGAGGCAGGCATGGAGGCCACGCTAACTGCGCTAACACCACGAATTACTAGGGCGTTAGTCAAGACGACGACTCACCTGTCAGCAAAACCTGCCGGCAAAAAGTCTCGGCTGAAGGGTCTCACACATCAAACTTGATGCAGCGTCTGCGTGATTACCACCCAACTTTACACATCCAATTAAAGGTAATACTAACAACCGAGTTAAATTACGTTAGAGGCAAGTTACTTCATGAAACCCTGAGCAAGAAGTAAATATGAAAGTGTCACTCACAATCAACGGCGTAGCTGCGAGAGTTGGGCTTTGAGTGAAACGTAAACAATTAGGCAGTAAACCTGGATCAGTCTCTCTGACCATTTAACATTACAGTATGTTGCTTCCTCCCGCCTGTGTTGAATAAACTCTAGGTATGGTAGATATGCCAGGTGTAAAACACTAACTATAACACTATAGGAGCTTGTAAACTTCCAGCACTATAACATGGGTTTTAATTAATTGCGTTTCAGTTATTGATAACATTGCATAAAAGATGTTCTAAATTTCTTTCTTTAATTGCAAACAAAGAAACAAAAAGAATAATAGACAGGATTTTCTCAGGCCACGTGTACAATTAGATTATCAATTATCAAAATTGAATAAAAAATAGGCATTGATTACAGTAGATGACAATAAGACTTCAGTTTATAACCCACATTAGTAATATTTTCCCCTGGGGGCTCAGTAAAGTTGATTTTAGTTGATTTTTTAAAAAAAAATTTAATCATTATTATTTTGTACTGTATTATTTGGTTTCTGTATTGCTGTATTATATCTGTTTGAAAGGACAGCAATGAATATCACATTAAACTCTCTAAAGAATTCTCATGTGATTTAATACATCAGTAATCTTGTTAGATAGATTAATGCGTAATAGTTGTGAAACTGTGATTATTCCTCAGACTATGATTGTACCATCAAAATCCATAATCGTTGCATCCCTACGCCCCACCAAGTTTGGTCCGGGAGGTCAGTACTTCATAATAATCCTGCTGAAATATTCTAAATAAATATTCCATTAAGTACTTTTCCTCCTACTGCAAAGAACTTTTTGAGTTGATTATTCAGCAATACAAATTACTGATTAGTATATCAGAAAATGACAATTAATATCCACTTTGTATTACTATTATATCCATACAGTATTCTTTAAGAATCAGGTTTCCTTGACTTTTGAATTCGTTGCTTTTGTTCAGCAGACGCAGGACTTTACTTTTGAAAGGTTAAAAAAACAAAACAAAAAAAACAAAACAAGGGCAAAATCTAGTATATGCCTGGACCACCTATGGTCAATGAGAAAATTTGACATTGGAATTGAGAACATAGTTGAAAACTGTTGTGGAACAGATGTAAACAACCAGCAACATTGCATCGTATTTGCATTTTGCCTAGTGTCAGCTGGTTTCAGCCCTTCATCTGTTTGCTTTTCTCCTATTCTCTGTGCTCACATATACAGTATTTTAATACAGTCAAATTCCCAATAAAGCTGCTCTTATTTACATGTTTTTCAGTTTATGTTGTTATTTAGTCTCTCACACAGTGCACAGTGTCTTTTTGGGTAATAAACTGCTGCTCCACATCTCTGCCGCTCACTGAACAGAGAAGACATGAGAGAGGTCATTACTGATAACTGTCTTCTAAGTAGCCATGCTTCATCCAAGAAGTTGCTAGATTTGTCACTGGGTGTTTTTTGAAAACTCTATCAGTCAGTCAGTCAGTCAGTCAGTCAGTCAGTCAGTCATTCAGTCAGTCACAGATTAAATCCTGGTGTAATAAAGACCCAAGGTTTGACTCTTTTACTGTTTTCAGCATTTTTTTCTTTTAACAGTTACATCAAGGAACTACTTTATATGGCTGCAATGATTATTTTCATTATTGATTCATCTGTCAGTTATTTTCTTGACTAATCGATTGATCGTTTAGTCTATGAAAAATCAAAGAATTGTAAATTAAATGCCCATCACAACTTTGCAGCGAACCAAACATGATTTCTTTGAACGTCTTGTTTTGTTGGACATAAAGTCCAAATAACCAAATATATTTAGTTTATAATCATACACGACGAAGAAAAGCAGGAAATTCGCTCATTTGAGTTGGTGCAACCAGAGAATATTCTCAAACACTTTACTAGTACGTATTGGTCTATTATGGCAGAAATGATTCATTCTACTTCTACATCTACTACAGGGCTACTACAACTACTACTTGTACTAAGACTACTGCTACTACTTTTGTAGCTAACAGTGACAACGATAAGGGAAAATCAGGTAGGCTCTCTGCTTCATCAGACGGTTGAAATCTGTCTTTAAACAAGACAACCACCAATAACTACAGGTGGAGTTTGAGACAACTGGTGAGAAATGACTGCACTGGCAGCAACTAAGCAGACTTAAACAAAACCTTTAAGAATCTAACCACTGACCACTGATATTCAATTAGCCATTAACCATTGCCCTATTCACTTGGTGCCATTTCCTGTGTTTGTCTGAACTGAGATTTGTTTGTATCATCCTCAGCCAATGCCACATGCAGCAGCAGTCGGAGGAGTGACCTACTGGCTGGAGGACACACAGTCTTCTCATGGATGTCCTTGTAAGAGGACAAAGACAAGCAGACATCACAACAACACTGTTATTTATGTGTCATACTCTGCTGTCAACATCTCACTTACTGCCAGAAACGCAGTGGGGTATTCTCCTTCAGCACTCATAGAAGTACCAGCCATACCTGCAGCAGATTTAAAAAGTAGGCAGACATGTTTGAGTGTGCTGGGCTGTATCACGTATCATGTATATTTATCATTCAGCAGACATTAAAGGCCGTTCTTTCTTTTCTCCCTGGTAGCTTGTGACAACATGACATTGGATGAAAAATTAAATAAGAAAACTTGCAAGCAGTGGTATGAGCTTCGAGATCAAGATTCAAGGCCACAAAATGTTATAACCTTAGCAAGTAAGAAAAAAAAAGAAAGGGAGCGAGTAAAAAAGAGTAAGTTGTATTTAAAGATGTTTTACCCACACAACTTCTCTGCTCTACAGAGGGCAAACACAATGAAAAAGACAAAAGTAAAAAAAAAAAAAAAAAAATTCTCTCAATTATCCACCACTTCTTATTTTTTGCCTAACCTGGCACCAAATTCATTGACATTGACAGTTTAAATGATAGTAAAATAGGTCACATTGCAAAAAAAACCAAAAAACAAACGCAGTGGAATTTCCACTGTGTTTGGTAGAAAACCACAATAACTTTTATCTTGTTAATACAATGTTGTGCTACACTTGCTGTGGAAATATTTTCTGTACTGTAAAGAAGTTTCACATACCTTCTGTGTCTGTTACAGAAATGCAGGACTATGTTCGCTACCTTCACTTTGAACACACATGTGACAATGAGAAGCCACGGACAGTTAAAATGTGCCTCTTTTACAAAAAAGAGGGTGGTAAGTGTCTTTAAAGTCGTTTTCTCTACATACTGTGTGTGATGAGATGCACGCGGTCAGCATATTTATTGGACACTCACCTTAAGCCATTGTTATATGTATCACATCCACATATACCATTCACATAGGGTTGGCTAGGGTCTGCATGATGTAAATTACGTTCAAGTGTTTTATGATCAGACATTCCAGTTTAGTGGATGACATTTTTTGACAGTGCCTTTCAAAATGGTAAGAAATCCTCATTTTCTCCCTCTGGACAAGAATTATAATTACACCCGCTAGAAAGCTTTGGCAGTTAAATGTTAACATGGCATTTGTTGAAATGAGTGATTCTGTCCGGTGATCTCCTCTCTCACAAAAATGAAAGACAGAAATATCAGAAGTACATTTAGATTAGACATGTATCGGGTGAGAGATGCCACATTTTCTGCAGAAATTCCACTTTGTCTTTCCCAATACTGATTCCAAAACCCATCTACAAGTCCAAATTTGATTTGCCTAACACTTTGGTTTACCTGCATATAACATACATTAGCCTCAGCTGTACTCACTTATTAGCATGCTAACACACTAAACTAAGAAAGTGACAAGGTAAACATACCTACTAAACATCAGCATGTAGGCATTGTCATGTTGAACATGGTGGCATGCTGACATTAGCATTTTGTACCGATGTGCCTATTTAAAGCCTCACAGAGCAGTTACAGCAAGGCTGTAGAATCTTAGTCTTGTCGTCCCAGGCTGTGCAGTCAAGGAATTTACCAGTCCCACTGATCCCAGTACGGATTCAAAAAACAAATTTCAGCTATTGGAAAATAATAATCTTGTCGATGGATGGAACTGACTGGGGACATTACTCTATGTGTAGATAGTTATCATGACTCTAACTACCACATTCTGTAGAAGGAGAAAAAAAGTTGTTTTTACCCTTTTTTTTTCTTTTCCTCGTCAGCACCACAAAGAGAACCACAGGTCTTTGCTGCTATTAATGACGCACACAATTCTGCTATCCTATCCTGGAAAGCAACTGCCTCTGAGCACCAGCGAGGTTTTCGCACACACTACAGCCTGTGCAGCATGAAAATAAGCTCACAAGAAGGGCAGGAAGGTGTGAAAGCCACTTCTTTTTTTTCATCTGAAATGGTTTGCAGAGCTTCCTCATGTGCAGTTATTTGTTTGATTACAAATGTGCAATAGTTCAACAACTTTTGATACTTAACTTTGTGAAAATAAAACTAGCTAATAACACTGCTACATGAATTTTACTGTGACAACATGTCTCATTTCATCAGAGTGCCGGAATATATCAGCCTCACTGACCAAATACCACCTGGAAAACTTGGCACCGGGAGCAAAATACAACATCAGCCTGGCCGCAGTGACACGAGCGGGAGAAGGCCCTAAAGCCATAATAAGTATCTACACACAGCCAGAGAAGCAAATGAATGGTATCAGACTATCCAAAATCAACTCTAAAGTTAACTTGTTTTCAACAAGTGAAATGTCAGTGGAGCAGATGTCCCAAGTGCTGATGCTAACTCCTTTTCCCTATCTTCCTTTTCTCCTCCAAAATTAGTGTGGCTGAGTTTTGGCCTGCTGATTGCATTCTTTTTAGGCACAACAATGTGCACTGTTATCTTGAAGAGGTACGTGACCTCCCATTATCTCGTTGCACTCTGTGGTTAAGATGTCTTTGTTTAAAGTCAGAACATTAATAAACGTTTTATAAACATTAGCTATAGCCACAATTACAGGATAATATCACGCCAAATTTTCTTTGATGTTCCAAGATGCTCTTACGTCATTTTGTTTGTTTTACTTTTGTGATGAAACTGTTCAAATGCTACAGTAACAGTAGCACAAACAGACCAAACTCACCTCATGATATATTTAAATTTTGCATTAACATTAGCTAACATCAACAACCAGAAGCTAGTGGCCATACCAGACCAGGTAAAGAAGCTATAGTAACAAAATGTAATTCAACTTTTCTAAGAGGACAATTTAGTTACTTATTCTTTCTCTAGTCTTGAATGCCACTATGTGTAGGATTTTTTTGTTTTGTTTTGCAATTGTTCATAATACACTGATGGCTTATGTTTTTGTTATCTAGAAAAATGAAACAATCTTGGTGAACATAAGTGCAGTTTGCAGTGTTGCTCATATTCAGCATCTGCTCAGTTTTACAATTGAAAGGGCCATACATTGCCGCTTTAAGGAATTTGTGTTATCTAAACGGTTGTTTGAGCTGCAATATTTAAATCAGCTATTCATCCTGGGTGGATCTTTAAGTTTCAGACACTTTCTACTCTGTTCTAATATTTAGAATCAAAAACAAGATCTTTCCTCCTGTGCCGAAACCTGTTATTCCAGATTTCAACCTCTTTCAGCCGGAGAATCAGGTAAATCTCACACACAGATTGCTCTTTACCTGGAACCTTTACCTTCAAAACTTTTTATCATGTGGGAAGTTTTTACTCTTTCTGAAACCCTGACAGCTGCACTTTCAGTCATTTATACGCTGTAATTTGACCAAACAGCAGAACTCATTTCCTCAGACATAGTAAACACAGAGTTAAGTAAATCAGTGCAGTCTATATATATTTAAAGGAAGTGTTAACTGTTTTTGTGATAAAAAATAACTTGCCTCATTGAAAACCATGTAACTCCACTTCTTCTGTAGTTACATGGCCAATGAAACACTCTACATCACTCTAAAACCTCATGAGTAACAGGACAAAAAGTCTTTCTCAGTTCTTTAAATGTTGACATGTTAGCAGTACAAGTTTTTTAGAGACGATTACAACTTCTGTAATCCAACTACTGTAAAAGGTTCCAGTTTTGGACCCTTGTATTCACTTTTTGGTGAGAAGAGTGAACTTATACTTTTTATTTTTATATTTAGCAAAGTAATTTTCCAGTGCAGTGCAGTTTGTTTTCCGTTTTGAATACCGAAACTTGAATCTTACTGTCATGTGTCAATGCGACCTACTACAGGAGATACTAGAGGGGAAAGAGGAGGTGAATGATCTAACGCTGCTCCAGCTGCATCCAAAGGTGAAGTCTGTCCCTGAGGATGCAGGGGAGACCACCACACTCCGAGGAGAGTGGGATCATGGGAGTGACAAGGACATGGAGAATGAGAGGGGTGATTCGAGGATGTCAGGAGGAACCAGTGATGAGAGCCCCGGCTCTACAGATCAGGCACTGAGAAGCTCCAGAGAAGGAGAAATAACAGATCTTGAACAAGTGGACAATGAGATTGCTATGTTGATATACAGGAATGGTTTGGTCTTTGATGTGAAGGTAGATTAGCCTTAAAATGAATGTAAGTGCAGATATTTACTGCCTCGTTGCACACGCACAAAGGGTTGATATATGTGTTCATATGGGTTAATACTTTTCTTGTTTCAAGAGTTTTATATTTTTGAACAATAATATTTCTGCATATTCCCGTTAAGCATCCCGAAAAATGCATTGTTTTTCCCAGTTTGACATGAGTGTATTTTTTAATTTATGCCAGTGACATTTCACATACAAAAGCCAGTATATGAAAGAAGGAGGGTAATCCAGTCACAGGCTTTGTCAATGCACGTTGTTGATAAAACTTTTTTGTAAACTGTGGATAGTAAATCTTTGTTCAGACTTGTGCAATTTTTGATATTTTTAGGTTTTTCCACACCATCAAATTGTGATGACTGATTTTGTTCTAGAGGCCTGCTTTAGGACAGCAGTGTCAGTCAGTTCACCACTTTGTACTGACTTTCATGATCCCCAGAGGGTGAACCATACTGACTTTGGTGATGCCCTGACTTTTCCTCTTGCGTCAACACAAGGTTGACATGTGTGGTTCCGAGGAAAATATCTCAACGACTATTGGGTGGATTGCCAGGAAGTTTGGTAAACACATTCATGTTCACCTCAGGAAGAATTTTGTTGATCCTCTGACTTTTCTTTTAGCCCCATCAATGGGTCAAAAATTCTATGTCCAAATACAAGCAAAATTAATGCCTCAGCTGTACCTAATTGCTATTTTGCATGTTAGCAAACACCCTAAAATGACATACTAAATTTAATAACAAAGAAAACATGAACAATTAAAAACCATTCATTTCTCATGTAATAACTGGAAGTATATAGATTCGACTGTATTTTACATTAGAAAGAGGGGATATCTTTGACAAATTATTTAGGAGCATAATTTATATAAGCAGCATAGCAGTTTCCATAATTTGCCATTTATTTGTATGTAACTTTTTTTTAACACCACCTTCTGGCCAATTATTACATTTATTTTAAGACTGCAAAAGATCAAAACTAGTTTTGGACCTCAACTTTTAACTCCCTAACAGTCTTGTAGTCTGAAATCTAGATCACTCATTGTACAGCTGCAAAATAATATATATTGTAATCAAACCACTAAAACACAGATCAGATAAACAAAAATGACACCATGTTCATGGAACAACAGCAAGGTCCAAATAAAAGAAAACAGCTTTACTGTAAAGACTGTGACCTGTTGATGGTCAGTGTAAAATGAAACCTGAGACTGCAGAAACAAAGAAGTGCTGGATGTAATGGCTGAGCAGTAGAAATGTGAACCTGCTAAGAGGTGAACATGTGACAGGAAGTGGTCACAACAAAAAAAACAATGGCCTTTAAAAAAAAAAAAGGTAGCTCATGCAAGGTGAAAAACTAGATTAGTCATAACCAAAGAGACTTTTGTGGTGTTTTGCTCGACTTTGTTCAAACAAGTGTGTAAGAAAGTGTCATGTCGATTTATTAGAAGTGATGACAGACTTCTTGCACCACACTGCACTTTAGTTTTTCAGCAGCTGAGCAGAAAACGTATTTTCCTTGTTCCTGTTTTGTTTGGTTTTGGCCTCAGCTGTGTCACATATTTTATCTTTCACCACAGTGAGATCAAAATCATTTATACTGACCACAGACAGCAGGTTAACACCTGATAATTGTGATACGTGGTTAAAATACTATCAAATGATACCACAGTGTTTTGTGTATCTTTCACACTTGTGGACTTGAGTTTCTACTACTTATTTTATCTAAGTCTATTAGAGTACTTGTACTTGGGTTCAGTGTTGTAGGTTTGGTTTGGTAGTGACATTTATTGGCCAATAAGGACAATTGTATGTGTGCACTTTTTCTATGACTCTTTTTGTCTTCTGTATACACACACTTCATTTCGAATCCAATGCCGGAAGAACAACATGGTTGGGCCTCTGTCTGCTGCACTGGGCACATGCTCCAGCTCATTGTTAACAGTGCCCTCAAAGAGCCCAGCATAGTGGAAACTTAGTGGAACGCTTCACGAGAAGCGAGCTGGCAAATACAAAACTGAAGCTGAAACAACAGCAAATGAACACAGCACAGCACAAGCTGATCCAGGATGTCGGTACAAGATGGAACAGTACATACTACATGGTAGAGAGACTCCTGGAACAGCGCTGGGCAGTCACTGCAACTCTATCTGATCCTGAAGTGACTCTTAGGGGCAAACACCATTTTAACTTTTGAATGTACACTGTTTACCTTAATGGACAGGAGTACGCAACTGCTTCATGTCTTCGACAGCTGGTCAAAGGGCTGCAACGGTCCATACAGCAAATCCGTTTTGCTAACAAAACAGCAAAGGAGACATGGATACACTTCTACAACAGAAGAAGGTCAGCGTTCCAGGGGGAAAATTCAGCACTGGATAACCTCTTTCAATATGACACTGGGAGTCTGAGTGAGGAGGAAGAGGAAACCCAGGCAGACCAAAAGATCAAAAAGGTGAGAAGTTCAGATGTACTTTGCAGAGCCAGTAATACCCAAAAAGCAAGACTCTCTCATATGGTGGAGGGAAACTGATGGCCGTTTCCCCACACTGTCAAAGCTGGCAAGATCTCCTCTGTGCATTCCTGCAACAGTTTGAATAAACTGTGACTGAAATGACTGACATATAGCCTTGTGTAGTTGGAACTTGCAACAGACACTATAGACCACAGAATACTGCGCACAAAATGCACTTTTATTTTCTTTTTATTAAGGGAAAAATTTTTTTGAAAAGTTTTTTGTTGATTCCAGGTGATAATCAATTCAAACTTCCCAACCATTCACAACTGAAGCATTGATTTGCTGAGTAAACTGAACCACAGTGGTCTGTATAGCTCAATATGTGGTGTTCAAAGTACTTGTTTTGGTGGGTTTTATTTACTGCTGCTACTTTGCCCATCCTTGGTTTACAGAAAAAAATGTATACATGATTTTTTTGTATCAGCACTTTGCCAGTCCTTGGTTTTAAATGGACAAAAATTTGATATTGGAATTTTTATTTATCATTTGTATCAGTAGAAGCATAAACAGCAGCAAAGTATGTCAAAAGATATTTTTGAATGAAGTATCTTTATTGTCTTTATTGTTAGATAGGACATGCCTAAAACAACCTCAAGCTAAATTTAAACGCTGGCAACTAAATAGAGCCATTGAGTAATTGTGTGATTTATTACCCGATTAGTCGATTAATTGTTTCAATAATCAATGACTAGTTGACCATCAAAATAGTCTTTAGTTACAGCCCTAGCCTCCACCTTTACAGCCATCATGTTGCGCCGATCCGGCAAACTATCCTTTGATCAGCACATAGGACAGCAGCCTTGGAGTCAAACTTATCAACTCTACTCTAACAGCCACCACAGCAACATGTGAGAGATAACAGTAACTGCGGCGGATTTAAATCCCCGATTCCGCTCCATAAAGAGAAACCTGTACTTGTAAGGTGAGAATGGAATGAGGAGAACAATGTAAAATTTAAGGGTTGTTGTTATGAGCAGATTCGTGGTGGTTTATCGGGGTGAGAGCAACTCTGACAGAGATCAAAAGAGTTCAGCCGTTTGTACTGGTGCAACACAATGATTTATTACAAGGTCTGTTATGCTTTACACAGCACCAAGTTAAGCCACCAAAAATAAAATATCTAAAATGTCTTTGATAATATGGGCTAAAAACAATTAAAATTCCATTTAAAAAAGAAGGGATGAGTGTAGAGGCAATTTGCTCTAAGGTGAGGAAAAGCAGACAACAGTGAGTCTGTCGAGATTCAAAGATTTATTATTGAACAGTATGTCAAATTAGAATGAACAACCAGCAATCAACACAATGATCATAAGCAGAGGCAAAGATCAACACATTACTATTTGGCCAAATAGGGTGCAGCGTCTTTCAACCACAACGGTATCAAGAGTCTGGGCCCCCTCCAATCTCTAACTTAGCTCTTTTATACAGTGACTATCACGTACACATGTTTAAGCAGACAGTTCAAATTTCATACAGGGTATAAAGTATGTTTATCTTGCTTAATCATTAAGTGTACATTTATTTGCGGAGATCAGTTCATACGGTTTATTCATACATTAAAAGAGAACATCCAATCCGATTAAAAGAAAACGTTACATGAAATGGAGGAAAACAATTTTTCTCATTACAATGAGGAGAGCTAAAAAGGTCCAAAATATTAAAATACAGGAGGCTAAAAAGTCACTCAGCTTAACAAAAGGGGGATAAAGTGACCGTGTGCGTCCTGGTGCTGCTGGCCTCGCCGGTCACTTCACTTGTCGAACCTCCTCGCTCTGCAGCTGCGTGTGGGTCGCGCTCCTTTTCCTTCTGTTGCTGGCTGGCGTTCGGGACAGCCGCCGCCTGTCAGACGCTTGTTGTGGCTCCCGATTCCTCCCTCTGCTCGTCCTGGTGCCTCAGTCCGTGTAGTTCCTCACCGACGCCGGCTCTCTCCTCTCGTGCAGCGTTTGCCCTCTCCGTCTTTCACGCTCTTCACCTCTACCTGTGCAGTGTTTTCGCACGAGTTGTCACTACTAACAGGGAGCATGCTCAATGGAAAAATCAGGATTTCCCAGAAAGCCTTCCTTCATAACTTTTGAGAAGAAAGCAATCAAATTAAATAAGTGGTGGGTAGAAGTAACATTCCTACTTTCAGTGAAACGTGTATTTTTGGAAAAAAATTCAATAAGAGCAATAAAAATATAAAAGACTATAACTCAAACCCCTAGGTATGACGGATCCCTGACAGCTACTGGGCCCCGGTGCTTGTTTGCTGTGGTCAGCAAAAATATATAATCTACCTCGTTGTAATCAAATACGATTTAAACCCCTCAATTCTCTGATGTTGAAGTGAAGTACCGATACTTCACGGCACTCAAGGGCCTGAACTGAGCTCCAGCAATTAATTGTCTGTCAGCAGAAAACTATCTTGATAATCGATTGATTGTTTTTGTCATTTTTCAAGCAAAAATGCCAAACATTATGTGGTTCCCACTCCCCCAATTGTCAGGATTTTATGCAATTTTGTCGTATATGATAGAAAACTGAATATATTTTGGTTTTACACTGTTCAGTCAAAAAAACAAGCTATGAGAGAACATGCGATTGGGCAGTGGATATTTTATCTGGTGTTATTTCACTACTGACATTTTATAAATAAATCGATAATGAAATAGTCGGTAGTTGCGGCCATAGATCAGATCTAAACACTTCTTCCACCCCTGGTTGGATTGTGACAATGGCGCCTCCCAGTGGGTAGAAGCTGTCAGTACAGGGGGAGGACGGGTA